GATAGGGCCTTGATACATGAAGTCCTTATGGAAAGAGATTCCCCTTCCAAACAATAACCTCTCCTCCTCCCTCTCCCCTCCTTGCCGTCTTCCATACGCCAACAAGAGTCTTCAATAAAGGTAAAAGTGATGTTAAATGTTAATTTATCCATTTCATTAGTCATTTATATTTATTTCTCATTGTTTTCTGTATGTAAAAATATAGTTATTCTCTATAAAATGTATTTTTTGTTAATATTTTTGGGTGTCTGGAAAGGATTAATTGGATTTACATTATTTCTTATGGGAAATATTGCTTCAGTTTTCGTGCATTCGGTTTTCGTCAGACTTTTTCGAACGCATTAATCACGAAAACCGAGGTTCCACTGTACACCATTGCGCTGGGTGACATGTTTCTTTGTTATCATACCCCAGACCCAAGCATGATGAGCTAGCGGACTGTAAACAAAGCTGAGAGCTCATGCAAGAGCTCGCGCATGTGGGCCTGACTGACTTGTGACAACTTCAGGACATTATGGCCACTTGGAGTCTTTGGGGCGACATAGTCAGGTCTGGGGATTCATAATGAATCAATGTGTCACCCAGTGCAGTGGTGTGTTTCCGTGATGTGTTTTTAATTGTTTTTGAACAACAATGGAGATCTATCACACAGACAAACAAGCTAATCCAGGACTGATGACTGACAGATGTTACTTGTGAGTAGAGGCAATTCACTGCTGGTTTTAGTCTCTGTATGAAGATGCTGAAAATACCAGGTGGGCCACGGAAATGACCGAGCAAGTGGATTGCTTTGGAGGCAGGCTACTTTTCCATGGCCCATGTGGTACTATTAATATAGAAAATGAGCAGCCTTATCCTTTAAGCAAGTATGCCATGGTCACTATGCTACTTTAGTGTGCTAAAATTCATGCTAAAATATCCACGCATTTTGTTATAGATGCATTTTTTGTTGACAGCAACACCGCTTGCATGTAACAAGGAGCAGAGCCTAAATTACTTGGCTCTGTCAATTCCAGTCTATAGAAGAATTGAGGTTACTGTGTAAGCACCTTAATCGCACTATATTACCTTACTCCTGAGTATCACCAATAATAGAATATAACATGCAGATGTACTAAAGTTCAACTTCCATCTTTTCATTTGAATTTTCAGAACAACAACACTCCTGACACAAGAACAGTCAGTCAATAATACACAATTAAATGTGTCAAAGAATGGGAGAGCATTCATATGGAAGGTCAGTACACGAGTTAAATGATGTCTACCCAAGCACAGAGGGAAGTCATTCACTTTTCTTCCTCCCTCTGAGTGTGATTATGACATCACCTTCAAAATCACTTTACTTTTCTAAATCACATTTGTGTGTGGACTCATCCTCTGGATCAACGTGATTATAACAGCACAGGTCTGCAGTAGCCTGGGCTGACGCCAGCATATGATTGCATGGTCCTGCTTTCCTCACAGTCTGACAGGCTACACGTCTGTCTGCCTGAGATGGGTTTTACTCAGCTGCTCATTTTTCCACCTCTCTCCAACTCACGAGTCCTGCACAGGTCCCACTTTGAAAACCCGCACCTGCAAAGCTCCAAATCGGACCCGACTAATTACCCAGAGTTATTTCTAAATGAAATCCAGATCTGAACCATACTCATAATTAAAATAGACCCTATGCTACATAGTCATTTACTTTAAAGTGCCTGAGAGTTGTGTTTTTGGAAAAGTATCTGTCAGTGGACACAGCACCTGGGCTCTGCAGCTGTTCAGTCAGTGAGGAAGTACCTAGCTCACAGCTATCAAACACTAATGTCTTTTAGCACTATTTACAAGCACAAAGCCGCTGATAGTGCTGTTCCCACTGTCAGGTTTGCTTGCTGCTCCCTGTCTCTCTTAGTCCCTGTTCCCTCTCTCGCCAGGTCCAGGAGAGAGGTGTGGCTAATCTCACTGATGAGAACTGCACTACTTAAAACCCGGTCAGATACCACTGCAGTGCCAGGTCATTTTGTCCGCTAGACGAAGATCGGCTCCTCTATAACGAACTCACCGAGATCTTTTTCCTTCTTTCTTTTTTTCTCTGGCTATGCTGAATCTTCAGCTCACGACTAGAGGATAAAGACCCACACACCGCATTACACCTAGAAGTATCCATGACTAGAGGATAAAGACCAAAACACCGCATTACGCAAGCCGTAATGTGACTAGAAGTATCCACGACCAGAGCATAAAGACCCACACACCGCATTATGCACGCCGCTTCACAAGCCTCCAGCGGCAGCTCTCCGGCACAGGCAGGCACCATCTCATTCTGTGCCAGTGCCCTACCACTGCTACCAGCTTCAGCCTCTGTCTCCAGCGTGATACGCCCCGGAGCTCTGTCCCTTGAGAGCTCCTCTGAGACCTGACTGACTTTTATTAACCGTCTTCTCTGTGTCTTCATCTATTCATAGACATAGTGCTGACTGTCCCTGACTTCCGGCGCCGACAGCGATGGCGGCCGGGGTTACTCACGCTCTCTTGTGTGTGTTGTTTTTCTTTGTTTTCTTGGTCTCTTGCAACCCATCACAGATTACTTTTACCAGAGAAGAACTGTTAAATATCAGACAACTCACACCAAACTACCTTCCTCCGAATCTTACATCTGCCTGCGTGCAGTTTGGAGGTGCAAGATACCTGAGCGTGTAATGTTAATTTTACCTGTGATCCTTTGAATAAATCAGCACTGTTTTGAAGTTACTTGGACTGTCTTGTTACCATTGCTAACTCTGAGAGACAAGAACCAAAGACCAACATAGTCAAAACAGTGAAGAGCTGGACTGAGGAGGCTAAGTCAGAGCTATAGGCCTGCTTTGACTGCACAGACTGGAGTGTATTTGAGACTGTAGCTACAGACCTGGACAAACTCACTTGACACTGTGACATCTTATATCAGCTTTTGTGAGGATTAGAGTTGTTTTTGGCGGCCTGTTTTAATTTTAGTTTTAGTCTAGTCTTTGTGTGAAGCTGTCATTTTAGTTTTTATTAGTTTTAGTCACGTTCATACTCGTTTTAGTCTAGTCTAGTTTTTCAGTGGACGGCAGGAAAAGTGATGCATGTAATCATTTGCTCTTCCTTTGAATTTCGTCAGCCTGATGTATTTTTTAATGCAGTGTAAAACAGTGTAGATATATCACGCTCAGCAAAGTAGACCATCATACTTGTCAGTGTGTAGTTGACCCTGAATTGACTGTCTAATCAAATAAACTCTCGGATTACAGCTGTAATTACTTTGATTCAAATTTAATTTAAAATAAAATGATTATATGTATATGTATCTGACTTCACCTCCTTACTGTGAGTTTTAGTGTCACTAGTTCTTAAGTACTCTGTTTTTATCCATATCTATCTCATTTCAGTGAGCGTTCCTTTGTCTGTCTGCATTGTTTACTGTTTGTCTATACTGCTTATTTTGCATTGCTTGCCCTGGTTGTTGCTTGTTAATACTTTATTTTGTTATACTACACAGCCTTATGTTGGTTTACTGTTTATTTGCCCCTTGCATGGGGATATGTACATGCACATTGAGAGCCACTGTACCAGAGTCAAATCCACACTTGGCCAATAAAGCTGATTCTGATTCTGACTACCCTGCCTCTGCCACCTCCAGTCCTCCTGCCCCAGAGATGAGCTCTCACCCCTGACTGTTTTCCTGGCTCCGGCTCTCTCGCTCACCTGGCAACACCTCCCGACCGGGCCAGCGTTACTCTCTTCACTGTTATATTATACCCATGTGTAATAAATCTCTGTTCTGAGTTGCTCCCTACAGTTTGGGTTCAGTCATTCTCCGCTCTCTTGCCTAGCAGCAGGAGAGTAGACGTAACAACTTGGCCCACTGCTACTCCTTAGTAAATATGAATATATGCCATTTTAATGCACCGAAAAAATGAGATGCAAATCCTTTCTGAATATCCCCCTACAGCTATACAGTTCAACAAGCCAGACTTCTCAACACCAAGCCAAGTCACATGGGTTAGTGGTATTTTCTCCAGCTTTACACCACAGACTGTACACCTGCAGCTCTGTTGGTGAGCTAGGCAGTGCAAAAGGTGAGATAAGTATGCTAACAACAACAACAACAACAGGCCTACTATTCCCAATCTGCCCCTGCTTAGTGGTGCCCTGAGCTGACCCTCCATCACTGTAAGGACTAAAACAACTTGTGAGACAGAACTGACGTATGCTGTTAAATGTCAAAAGGACTGAGGGGTATAGGAGGCAGAAAAGAAAGAAAAAGGAAAGAACAAGGAAGAAGACAATATGAGGTTCAAGGACATAGGGAAAATAGAGGAGAAGAATTTTGGAAATATGGTGAGGAAGTGAGGCGAACTGGCAGCAGGCAGAGAGGTTGATGACAAGCCTGTAAAAGGCATCTGAGGGCTACTGTGTATTCTCACCTGGCTGTAGGACTGTAGGATCTTGGAGCGGAAAGGCACGATGGCACACAGCACAGACAGGAACCAGAAGATGAAGAGGACCCCTGAGGACTGAACCCCATGTAACCTCTCAAACTGGATCAGAAAAGTGGCCAGGAGCTATGAGAGGAGGAAGTGGGACATTACACAGAGAGAGTAGGGCACAGGCAGAGAGCCAGGTTAGCTGAGACAAGGTACCAAAAAAATCCACTTAAATGTCTCTCTGCCAGGAAATGATAAAATTCTCTATTGTTAAGCAAGAAAAAAGGTGGGTCTCAAAATCCAGTCTACACACTGCTGTAATTACTACTGTAAAACCTGACAAAGTGAAGTGTACTTAAACCAGGCAGCATGCACTCAATAGTAAAACCAGTTGCTCAACCATGTTTGAGTGTCCTGTTAATGGACACTGCTCTCGCAAAGGCAATGCAAAATAAAAACGGAAGAGCATCTGCTGGGGGGTGCTCTGGGAGTACG